TGCAAACTTAGAGTTGTATTTTTGAGAAAAAACTTGTGGAGTAAGAGAGTTAAGTGTCATAAATAGCCACCAGTGATCTTTAGATCTTTTACTATTATTTGAGTAAGAAGAACTGACCAACAAGGTTCCACATGCACCTTGTGAGAACAAAATGCAAAAATCCTCACTTGTAAATTTGACCTCTACTTGAAATATGTAATATTGTGCTGAATTCAGTTGGTTGAATGAGTATAAAAGAAGTCTCTTTATCAGTCTTCCATATGGATTGTGTTTTAGCCGATTCATTTATTTTTGTTAGATTAATCTGTGTATGTGTGTGTGTGTGTGTGTGTGTGTGTGTGTGTGTGTGTTTATATTTACCTCACCTTGTTTCAGAGCATATTTAGAGTGGAGATATTCAGAGTAAACTTTTAATGTGATGGCTTACATGCTTAACATTTCTTCTATAATTCGTTGTTCACTGAATTTAACATGCCAACTGTGAAAGAGATGGTTTTTAAATGTGAGATTTGAACTTTCACATCTTTCAAGCATTAACACTCTGGTAGTGTTAAGCTTTTTATACCACCTGCTTCCCCTATTTTGAGTTCTGGTGATTTTCCTATGATTGCTTCCATTGGCACTCTAGAAAATCAATGAGTCAGTCCTGCACATATGAGTATGACCATATAACTGGATTAGTCATTAAAGCTGTGTAACTCCAAAAAGAATATTAACTTCTAATTTTTAAGACAAGTCTCTTCATTTCACTTTCATTTTCCCATCACCAGAAAGGACAAAACCAGGAGACCAATGCCAGGTGTATAGAGTTTACCCTTCCAGAAAGGCAAAATGTAGATTCGAGAGATTTTAGAAATACACTTGGTAAGATATGTAGCCAACAAGATAAGGGATTTGTGAACTTTTGGCTGTGTATCAAAAAGAATGAATACATAACATTTATGAGCAAAACACCATAAATTTTTCTCCTAAAAGTTCATTTCTCATTATAAAACTGCAGTGGTTTATTTTTATTCTTTTACCTTTCACGCTTGATATCTCTACATGATGCACTATGGTTACAGATGTTAATTTGTGAGGCATTAGTGTATACACTACAAAAGCCAGTATCCAGTTCAGTTGCATTAAGTAAGTAATATATTTTGTTTAGAGTTTCAATTAAACCCAAGACCAGAAGATATATGGCCCCTGTGGGGAGTTTGGACACTTTAATGCCAATGGTGGGGTTGCCTAAGGATCACGTGTAGGTCTAAATGCCTCTTGCTTTCCTGGAAATATGATATGAGACAGTTGATTATATTTCAGTGCTATTGAAACCACACGAGCCCACCTGTTACATTAATTCATACTTTTGCCAGTTTCATGGCAAAGAAAAGATTGAAGCTTAAAAACTTTATA